ATTTGTCATGTTCCCTTATTCTCTTTCAAATTGGAAAAATTAACTCATTCCTTCTTTGACTTACATTATCTGAACACTTTTGAATATTTTAGACCAGTTATTTTGTAGAATATCCCTCAATTTGGGTTTGCCCATTGTTTTCTCGGGATGAGATTGAGGTGATGCATCTTAGGCTGGCACACATGGAAACAGTGCAGTGCTCCTCTCATTACATTCTATCTGGAGGCACATGATGTTGGTTTGTCCCAGTTATTGGTGACGTTAACTTTGATCGCTAGATTAATATGGCATTTATCAGGTGCTTTCACTGTACAGTTACGATTTAAAGATTTTGTTTATTTATTTGTCAGAGAGAGAGCACACAAGCAGGGGGAGCAGGCCGAGAGAGAGGAGGGCTCTCCACTGAGCAAGGAGCCCAATGTGGGAGTTGACCCCAGGACCCTGGGACCACGACCTGAGCTGCTGAAGGCAGACACATAACCGACTGAGCCACCCAGGCGCCCCTGTACAGTTACTCTTTTATTAGATGTTTTGTGGGGAGGTACTGTGCGACTATGTCATTATCCTATTCCATAGCAAACTTTTATTATTTACCAATTTATATTAGTATGAACTCAGGGTTTCTATTTTATTCAGTGGGTATAATTTTTTACTATTTTTTACCATCATTTATTTTGATACTCGCATTGTCCCATATTTGGCCAGTGAGATCCCCTTCATTCAGGCTTCTGCATCTTTTTTGACATTCCCTTCACTCTTTGAGCACTTCCTTGATTTTTAATCTATACCTCACTTTCTTTGTTTTGACATTTCAGGTCATTTATATTACTTTGAGTCTTGATTATGCCACTTATAAGATCAGCTATTCCTCCTAGATGATAAGTATTTCTTCTGTTTCTTTATTTAAGTCATGGATAATAATGGATATATAATGGATTATAATAATAAGTGGATAATAATGACCAATGTGTTGAAGCCGAGGAAAGAGCCCTCTTGTACTGTTCCAGAGACTACTTCCCAGATCAGCAGTCTTCAACCAATTAATCAATATACTATTTTGTAGTGTATTTTGAAGACTTATTGATCATCAAGCTAGTTGCTGCTGCCAAGTCAGAGTCACTATCAAGCCAAAGATTCTTCCCTGGATTCCAACCATCTCCTTCCAGAAAGAAAATAGTTTCTTAGCATTCAGTGCTGTTCTCCATGACTAAAAGCACTGTCTCCATCCCCACCTGATCCCAGGGTTCAGAGAACTCATACTTTAAAGTCACTCCCATTGCAAGAAGGATCTTGACTTAGAGCTCACTTAAGGATATCAAAGCTTTGGGTACCAGGAGGTGGTAGACAAAACAAACAACAACTTAGTCCCTGGCACACATTTTACACTCAGTATACTGCTTAACTGAGCAAATGAATAAATACTGAAGATTAATGCAAATAAATTAACCCAAACTTGAAATGGGTCTTCCTGTTCAATAATCTGTGCATGTTCATGGAAAAGCCTCTAATGCCAAAAATCTGGATTCCAGATTTTTTTTTCAAGACTTACAGCTGTGAAACTTGACAAACCACTGAATTACTCTGAGTTTCAGTATTTTTTGTTTTTGTTGTTATTAGATGAAAATAATAAATGGAACACTCCTACCTAGTCCACAGACTTGTATAAGCCAGAGAAATCACATAAATGAAAATTATCTGTATGCCTTAATTGGTATTAATGTGTAACATTATCATTCTTATGGTGAATATACAATGTTACCAGTTATTTTTTCATTATTTTATAAGAAAATGAGCAGATTAAAAAAAAACTGAGCAGATTTTTGAAATGCCCATCATTTTCCTAAACTGTTTACCTAATACTGACATTTTTTTAAAAAGAAAATGAAGCTTAAAAATTTTTTAATTTTAAAAAAATTTAATTTAAATTTAATTTAATTTAAAAATTTAATTTAAAAATTTAATTTAAAAAAATTTTTTAAAAGAAAATGAAGCTAACTTAGCTTTTTGAAATGCTCACGAATCATCTACTTAAAAATTGTTCTCAGATTTTTTTGGAATCAATATAAACCTCACTATTTGATTTACAAAAATCCTTCCTTTCTTTAATTAGAAAGTTAGAACAGATTTGCTTCTCAAAACTGATGGCATTTTTCACCTGCTCTTTGATTTTTCAAAAAGTACTGATTTTTTTTTAAAGATTTTATTTATTTATTTGTCAGAGAGAGAGGGAGGGGGAACACAAGCAGGGGGAGTGGGAGAGGGAGAAGCAGGCTTCCCGCTGAGCAAGGAGCCCGATGCGGGGCTCGATCCCAGGACCCCTGGGTCACAACCCGAGCCGAAGGCAGATGCTCAACCAACTGAGCCAACCAGGCATCCAAGAAGTACTGATTTTAACTCTTAAAAAGAGTTAAAGCATCAGATTTAACTCCTGTCCTTCAGGAAACATTTCCCAGCTTGGTGGGCAGGCTGGAGGAGTTGGGGGTCATCTCTATATCTCTACTCTATCTATAAAATTAACATACAAGCATCCTACTTCTTACTGTTGTAGTGAGGACTAAATGTAATAATGCATGTGAAAGAAGGCCTATAAATAATAAAACTTTGTACAAATATGTAAGTAACATATGACTCAGAACTTCAAAGTAATAATAGCGAAACCTGTCATCTATTGACGTAGTCTCCTTATCAGATTCTATGCTCTCTTTCAATGCTACAACGACCCAATATGTATTATTATCCCTGTTTTACAGACGAGGAAACTGAGGATCAGAGGGATTAAGTACTGCCCAAAGTCACACAGCTAATAAGCAGTGGAGCAAATTCAATCCCAGGTCTGTCTGACCCCCAAACTCTACCCTTAACCCATGCCACAAATTCTACCCCAAACTCCACCAATTTGGCCCCAAAGTCTTGAATCCATTTAATAAGAGTCTGTCCTGAAAAGATTGCTTCTATTCGTGAGCTGCTGCCCAACCTTTATGTTGTTGGTTCTAAATTTTCCAATATGAAAACTGTTCTAGGTCGTGGGGAGAACAGAAACCATACAGTTAATAGTTTTGATGATGTCTCTTACTTATCTGCTAACACTGTATCCTCTCCTGAAAGAAGCAGACCTCTTCTTTCCTACTCTTTTTGTGAGCATTTTCTGTATTTCATGCTTTTCAAAAGGCTCAATTACTTTTGCTTTTAGTACTAGCTGAGAAAATGCCCAGTTTGATTAGAAAGACTTGAATTGGTTAGCCATTCAATGAGTTGAATAGATACTCTGGCCCAGTACATTTTCTGCATAGAATAATTTAGTTAATAATTAAAATTCTTACCCATGCAGATTTTTCCATTTTTAAATTTACTCAATGCTTACATTCATAGGTGTTACCAATTTGTCATGTACTCATACAAAATCGATGGTCTCACAAGTAAATGTTTTGGATCCTGAACTGGATCATGAGAAATTATCAAGGATAGTAATAATACTTTATGAATTGGGTGTTAAATAACGCTTATGAAATGCTTATTTCTTTGAGAGTTTATTACATTTTAAATTACCACAATTGGGCTAATTGTGAAACTTTCACAGCTTAATGATCAGCAGAGTAGACAGGGCCCATGTTGAATGCTGCTTTGTATTAGTGACCAAATTTCCCTATGGATCCTACAAAACCATCAATGTTACTGCAACTGATGCTTCAGAAGAATTCACAGTTACATTATACTATCATTTGAAAATTTAAATAAATTGCACTATTCACCCAAGGTATGTATGACATGTTGGCCTTTCAGGTTAAATCAATTTTAAAAATTTTTTATTTTGATTTCAATATTACTCTTTGTAACTTGATTCCAAGGATATTTTCATATCTACCTTCTGCAACCTTCATTTTCTCAGAATTTCTGTATTTTCTATTTTAAAAGTCCTTTTGAACTTATATAATAACTATGGAATCAATTGCTTTTAAATGTCATGAACTAATAAACACATCTTGACCCAAATGAAAATTCATACACTTATGTGATGATAACCATTCTCTGAGGAAAAGTGCTTGGCAATATATCCTTGGGAAAAGAACAATACTGGAAACTAACATTCATTTAATTTTAATGTATAATGTTTGCCTTGTTTTCTTAGACTATAAGTGAATGTAATTTTTTTTAAATGGAGACACCGGAAAAAATATGAAAGGACTTGTTTCCTGCTGTTTTTGGGAAAATGTAATCCTTCCCTAGCATTAGCTAAAACCCTTACTCTAAAATGGTTTTTCCAAAATAATGTATTGTGAGCCAGAAAAATTCCCTTTCTCTTTACAGAGATCTAACAGGTTGGGAACTAATTATAAAGTATTTTTTGACAATCAAACAGCAGACTTTTATATAACTTTTGCTTGTATTTTTAGTGCTTCAGAATTAGCTCGAAATAGATCTCAGGAAATGATTCAGGAGCTAATGTGAGGTCCCTAGACTAAAAACTAATAATAATACTACTCTAACATTTGTATCCTTTTCCTCATCACATTAGTTTTCTATGTCATATAATTAATTAAGAGATTAAAGTTTATTCAGATTAATTCCATTAAAAGAACGTTAAAAACACTTGAGATAGGGGTGCCTGCGTGGCTCAGTTGGTTAAGCGTCCAACTCTTGATTTCGGCTCAGGTCATGATCAGGGTCATGAGATCGAGCCCTGTGTAGGGCTCTGAGCTCCATGCTCAAGATTCTCTCTCCTTCTGCCCCTCCCCCATCCCACTCGCACTCTCAAAAAAACAAAAGTACTTTGAGATAAGGGGTGAAATCTTAGTTTCAAAAGTACTAATTTAGAGTCAAATGTATTTCAAATGTTAAATATGAAGCTAATTAGGATAAGACTTCTGAGTCAACAGTAGAAATGCTGAATTGGTCCTATTTCATTTGGGGTAAAGTTTCTCTACATAGAACCATTGTTTAATTTAAGAATCATTGTAAAATCTCTTTTATACTGCACTGACAACATTTTTACTCTTGTCAAGGTATCAGATACACACCGGACTTCAACATTCTATCATAAGACCTACCCAACCCAACTGCTTACCTCTGGACAATGCAACCCTACCTCAGAAGCTGAAGGAGGTTGGCTATTCAACACATATGGTTGGAAAATGGCACTTGGGTTTTTATAGAAAAGAATGTATGCCCACCAAGAGAGGATTTGATACCTTTTTTGGTTCCCTCTTGGGAAGTGGTGATTACTATACACACTACAAATGTGACAGTCCTGGGATGTGTGGCTATGACTTGTATGAAAATGACAATGCTGCCTGGGACTATGACAATGGCATCTACTCCACACAGATGTACACTCAAAGAGTTCAGCAAATCTTAGCTTCTCATGACCCCAGAAAGCCTATATTTTTATATATTGCCTATCAAGCTGTTCACTCACCACTGCAAGCCCCCGGCAGGTATTTTGAACACTACAGATCCATTATCAATATAAATAGGCGGAGGTATGCTGCCATGCTTTCCTGCTTAGATGAAGCAATCAACAATGTGACCCTGGCCCTGAAGACATATGGTTTCTATAACAACAGCATTATCATATACTCTTCAGATAATGGCGGCCAGCCCACAGCAGGAGGAAGTAACTGGCCTCTCAGAGGTAGCAAAGGAACATACTGGGAAGGGGGCATTCGGGCTGTCGGCTTTGTGCATAGTCCACTTCTGAAAAACAAGGGAACGGTGTGTAAGGAGCTTGTGCACATCACCGACTGGTACCCCACTCTGATTTCATTGGCTGAAGGACAGATTGATGAGGACATTCAGCTGGATGGCTATGATGTCTGGGAAACCATAAGTGAGGGCCTTCGTTCACCGCGGGTGGATATTTTGCACAACATTGATCCCATTTATACCAAGGCAAAAAATGGCTCGTGGGCAGCAGGCTACGGCATCTGGAACACTGCCATCCAGTCAGCCATCAGGGTGCAGCACTGGAAACTGCTTACAGGAAACCCTGGCTACAGTGACTGGGTTCCCCCTCAGTCTTTCAGCAACCTGGGGCCCAACCGGTGGCACAACGAACGAATCACCTTATCGACCGGCAAAAGCGTATGGCTCTTCAACATCACAGCTGACCCATATGAGAGAGTGGACCTGTCTCACAGGTATCCTGGAATCGTGAAGCAGCTCCTACGGAGGCTCTCGCAGTTCAACAAAACTGCAGTGCCTGTCAGGTACCCCCCCAAAGACCCCAGAAGTAACCCTCGGCTCAATGGAGGAGTCTGGGGACCATGGTATAAAGAGGAATACAAGAAAAAGAAGCCAAACAAAAATAAGGCTGAGAAAAAGAAGAAGAAAAGTAAGACAAAGAAGAAACAGCAGAAAGCAGGTTCATTTCCAAATTGCCGTTCTGGTGTTTGCCATCACCGTGGATAAGTACACATTTTTCCCTGTCTGGTTAAACTTAAGTCAGTCTTAGTCAAGACTTTTTAGCTGTTTTCTAGGTAAACCAGCAAATCTGGCTCAATAATATCACCGCCATAACACCAGGCTTATTTTCATGTGTTGGCCACAGGGAAAACAGGGCTATTCAGTGCCAAAGGTGCTACCCTTGCAAGCCACACTTGGAGGAGAATAGAGATGTTTATTTCTTTTGCTCCTTTGTGAAAGTGCTCATTAAGGATTTCAGCTGTTGTGTTTCAGTCAACAGACCAAACACTTGCTTTAAACTGCAATCCATGAATATGTTAATTTGATGGAAGTTACAGGGTAGCATGATGAAAACTACCTTTCATCAAGTACAAAGGTTGCCTCACCTCAAAAGGCCTTGAAAAGTACTTTTTCTTAGTGAATTATTGTATCTCCATCTTATGATACTTGGTTTTTTAAATTAATTCCATTTCATGTATCATTTCCTTTCCTGTGAAAATAAGCTGTTTCCTCCTGTGTAAACAGCTTGCACCTCATTTTATCACGCATGAGGGAATGGCAAATAAGAATGTTTGAGCACACTGCCAAAACGTGAATGTAACTATTTTCTAAACACTTTAACAGAATGACATTTCAACGTAAAGTACATAATTTATTTTACAGAAAAAATATTAATTATTTTGTTTTCATAAAAAGTTAGACAAATTACTTTTATTTTTATTTTCTATACACTGTTAGAAGTTTATTTCATATCTTCAAGATTACCAAGCACTGTACTACTATAAATTACTGTAATACTGTGTGAATTCATAGAATATAAAAAGAAAATAAGTCAGAAAAAATGATAATCATCATTGTTCAACCATTATTTTGAATGTAAAAAGATGAAGATATTCCTTACAGATTACTTGGAAATTCAGTGTTGTACGGGGTTGAGAGACAACTTTATTGTTTCTATCATAAACACTTTATTTGTCTTTATTATTAAAATGACTTATTTTATAGCACTAGCAAATTTAGTGTGGTTTTCCTGATCTAGTTTCTAGATAAAATTGTATTACAACAAAAATCTTTACAAATAGGCAATTGAAGGTATGATTTTCTAACAACCATATTATTTATATATAAAAATATATAAATATAGAAAATATATATGTATTTTAAATATATAAATATATAAAATATATTTGTATATTATTTATAATATGGATTTTGCAAATAAGAGGTGTTTCCGCTTGGCTATTTCATAGAGAAAAATGTTATTTTGTTAATCTATAACATTTATAATGATCCTACTCTTACACAAAGTAGATACGGTGGGGATGTGATTTTAAGTTCTCTATTAATGACCATAACTTTTTCAATGGAAATAAATTAGCCCACAGTCTTCTATCTGGAAATGGCTTCACAGATGTTGTTCGCTATTTGTAAGAATACCTGCCACCTGCACATGGTCCTAGGTAGACTGTGATTTAAGAGAAGTCTCTCTTGCAGGGCACCTGGGTGACTCAGTTGGTTAGGTCATGCTCCTGGACTCTCTGCTCAACAGGGAGTCTGCTTCTGCCCCTCCCCCTGCTCATGTGCTGTGCTTACTCTCTCTCTCTCTCAAATAAATAAAATCTTTTTTTTTTAAAGTCTATCTTGCCCCTTAAAAAACTAAAGTCTAACATAATAGTCATCTATAAATAATGATCAAAAATATTTTCCCAAAATGCTTTCAGCAAACCTCTAGGTATTTCAAGACATCCAGGAAGGGAAATCCTCTACAGTTGACTTTCATGCCCTAATCATTAAAACTGTGTTAATACTGGACATTTGGTCTCAGGTGTCATTCTCCTAAACTATGATTCTCAGGCTGCATTTCTAGAGCTGTCTGTGGCTCTTTCAACTGTAAACTGCAGCTCTTTAAAACCTCTGATCCTTTTACCAGGAGACCAAAAGAAAGTCCTGGACTGAAAAATAAGTTTCCCACTAGTTTTGTCAGAAAACAGTTTGTGGATATGGCTATGCATCTTGGATGAGAAAGGATATAAAACAGTTAATTCGAATAAAAAAAGCAACAAACCCTTATAGTCCCTTTCCAGTGAAAACATCCACCCCAGGTCTGTCAAGTCTACTAAAGGAGTTGTTTCATCTATATTTACATACTCTTACTTCACTTTTCAAAAAATTGAGTGAATGTTACAGTTTTCTTGACCAGGCCCTTTTTGAAAATCTGAAGGATAGAGAAAACACTGTGCCACTGACAGTTGAATAAATATACAGTAAATACACTTTAGCATTTGCTATTCCAAGGTCCATGAATTTGGCATCAGGATTAGCTTATTAAGCATTTTATTCATAGGATTCTTGAGCACCCAAATTGTGAATTTGTCAGTAGCCATCAGAATAGATGTTGGCAGAAAGATATACATTCATTCAACAAATATTTATTAAATTCTACTATTTGTCAGGTAAAATTCTAGGGGCTTGGGATGTATCAATGAACAAAATGAATAAAAATTCTTACCTTTGTGCAAGTTATGCTCTTGCCAAGTTAGGCAGACAATAAATAATGAACATAACTAATAAGCAAATTATATACATAGTCTCCCGCCTTAGCCACAATTTTGCTTTCCGTGGTTTCAGTTACTCCAAGTTCACTGTAGTCCGGAAGTAGGTGATCCTCCTTCTGTATCGTCAGGTCACTTGTTGCCATCCCAATGCCTATGTCATTCACCTCGCTTCATTTCATCACTTTGGGATCACAAGAAGGCTGAGTTCAGTACAATAAGATATTTGAGAGAGAGAGAGAAACCACGTTCATGCAACTTTTATTACAGCATGTTGTTATAATTGTTATTTTTTATTAGTTATTGCTGTTAATCTCTTACTGTGCTTAATTTATAAATTAAGCTTTATATAGGTATGTAGGTATAGGAAAAAATATAGTATATATATAGGGTTAGATATTATCCGCAGTTTCAGGCATCTCCTGGAGGTCTTGGGACTGCTGTATATATGTACTATATAAAGTAATATGAAAAGGAAAAAGTATATCAGGAAAAGGGGAGGATTCATTCAATGCCAAGTTTATCCACCCATTTATTCAACATTTGTGAAGTGCCACATGTAATGGTATCTGCTAGGGTCTGGTGACAAGTATCATCAGACAGAGTTCCTGCCTTCAGGTCGTGTACATTCTCCTGGGAAACATACACAAATCAAACTGACATCCTCATCTCCCCCACACTTCTTCCCTGATTGATCTCTCTCCGTAGCACTTCTCACCCTTTAATATAGTTCATATTTTACTTACATATTTTCTTTATTCTCTTGACTCTTCCCTCTAGAGTGTAAGCTTCTTAAAAGTGGTTTATGTCTGGGGCGCCTGGGTGGCTCAGTCGGTTGAGTGCAGGTCATGATTTCAGGGTCCTGGCATCGAGCCCTGAGCAGGGAGCCCGCTTTTCTCTCTCTCCCTCTGCCTCCCCACCAGCTTGTGCTCTCTCACTCACTCTCTCTCAAATAAATAAATAAAATCTCTTTTTAAAAAAGTGGTTTATGTCTGTTTACATCTGCTTCATCAGTATATAAAGCAATACCTGGCTCATAGTCAGCATTCAATATATATTTTTTGAATGAATAAATAAAATAATCACGTATGTCCATATGTTCAGCTATATTTGCTTGAGTTTCTGTTTTCCATTTTTTTGGTTTGCTTTCCATTTCTTATAAAGGGATTTCACTGTTGAAAATAGAACTAATCATCCCTAATGCTTTCCTCATAATAATAGCAATAATGTGAAATGCAGACATTTCTAGCACTATAAAAAAGTAACTCTAATAATGTATAGTTATAAAAACAGAATGTTATAGCAAAAGCCAAGCAAAAGTCACACAAAACTGAGAGCCAATTTTATCTATATCATCTTTATTACCTAACAGGGCAGAACAGTATTATTCTAACACTACTTTGAATATCACAGAATACATTAGCTGAAATGAGAGTTTCCAGAAAGGAGAGGTGGGGGCTTAAATTGTGAATAATTTTTTTGTAGCAAATGGTGAAAGGAAAAAAAAACATAAATAGCAAAAACCTCTATGTCTTCATAGAATTATGAAGCCACATGGGCTATAGTTCCTATCCTTGGGTGTTCTATTATAAACTTCTCCAATTTGGCAGAGTAGGAGTTCTTCTTTGAAGATACATTTTTCTTAAGCTGGGTTGTAGCATCTCTATGAAGTCTGTTGATTTATAGGCTAGCTATGACATTATTAAACCCAGGACAACAAAATGTCCTTGTGAGTTGGGCAGACAAACACATCACCTAATCTTCCATTTCATATCTATGACTTGAAGTTTCCTTTCTCTCAAATTTTTCTACAATCCTATATTCTTGGTCAGTTGGTTTATGCAATTTTGTGTAAAACTAATCCCAACAACCTCAAAGGAGCAAGAAAATAACATAAACTCATGAGCAATGTCTACATAGTCACTCCTTGCAGAAATTCTCTAGCTGAAAATTTTAAGTGAGGAACATCTTATGAGTCAAAGAAAAGTGAAATTTGTCTTTCAGAATAAAAATCCAAAAACAATTTTCAAGAGGACATATTAATCTCTCCGGAAACAATAAAGAATTAATGTTCCTTCAACCTTGAGAGTTGTGAATGACTGGTGGATACTTTCAACTGAACTTCTAAATCCTAAACAACTATGAGAAAAGAAAATTTTATAACTAAGTTTAACAGAAGCAAAACCTTGATTTGAGGTAGCATCTGAAACTGTATTTTCTCACCTCACCATCACCAGAACTTCCAGAGGCTCTTTATCAGCAAAAAAATTATAGCATAATTCATCAGTCATGGAGATGCATTCTAATACATGTCCCACTAACATTTCTCTATTTGTAGCTTTTTGTGATTGGAGTATCAATCCCCTCTAGCACCTGGGAGGTAGGGAATTACAAGCATGTCGCATCCACATTATTTTCTACTATGCAGTCACACTTAATTCAGCAACAAAATGT